CAGGAGACAGATTTATGTAACATGCCCAGAATGTGATGTGTGCCTCCCCGCACAGAGCAGATTTTTGGCCAGAACCCTATGAAGGAAATGGCAGTTCTGGGAACAGGACCTCCGGGGTGATATGCAAGAGCAGACGGATTTGCTTCATTCATAGATGGCTCAGAAAAAAGATGTCCCTCATGTTAGAGAGCCTATAAAGGTATAAAGCATTATTTAATTCAAGAAAGCAGCCCTCTGTTGATGCTGAGGCTATGAGGAGAACTGGAGGGAGTGTGCAGACTGCCAGGCCAATTGTCAGAAATGCCTGCCAGAGAATTGGATGCTGGGGCTACAGAGATATTATCTGTGGCTTGGCATTTGGAGCCTACCCTAGAAGTTCAAAGAGGAGCAGCAATGACTGAACCAACTTTCAAGGGAACACAGAGCTATATTATCTGTAATTTATAGGACTTCGAAGACAAACTTTGATTTTGAAGGGATACACAAGGAATGATGTCTCCTCTGTAAGGGAAATTGCCTTAGAGCACATGTGCTCTAGATTTCTCTGAAGATGAGCATGCAAATTGAAATGACAGAGGAAGCTTATCATGAACTGTTTTCATTAGGTAAATTCTGATCATATTTGAGTCAAGCAATGGCTGTATAAGCATAATTCTAAAGGCGAAAAACCTGATCAGTTCAGTGGAATTGTAACAACTGTAATAGGATTCCCAGCCACCATATCTAATGATTTGAACAGTGGAACTGCCCAGTGAATAATCGGGAAGCTTAGAAAGTATTTTGTCAGAGTCTACACAACAGCTGTTGGAATGTTTGTCTCCAAATTGCAGCCAGAGTAAGGATGGGTTAGATAAGTGGTAATGGCTAGAAATTTGTCCTCAAAATGTAGGACTAGACTCATCTAGCTAGTACCCTCCAGCAATGTATTAGGGCTTATCTTATTTCTGATGTATTATGACCCATCCATTACTTATAATGGATGTTGACTCATTTATTCCAGATTGACTCATTCATTCATTTGTTCAACAAGTAATTGAGTGCATACTATGCATCAGGACTAGATTTAGTTGTTGGGGATACAGAAGTGAATATAACAGACAAGTTTCTGTTCTCTTTACATTCTAATGGAAGCAGGCAAAAAAAAAACAAACCCTAAATTAACAACAACAACAACAACAATAATCAAAAAACATACCAGGAGGCTTTTAGCTGGAGAAAAAAAGGGAAGAATAAAGGCAATAATGGAGATGCAATTTTAAGTAGGGTGTTCATGGAATACTTTAATAAGGTGTTAACATTATGGAAGAAAGACAGGAAAGAGGTGAAGAAGTGAGTTATGTAGGTATCTGGGGAAAGAACAAAGTATAGAAAACAGCAAGTATAGAAGTCCTGATGCTGCTGTATGCCTGGGAAGTTGAAAGAGTATCTTTATCTATCTATCTATCTATCTATCTAAAATCTTGAGGATCTTTCAAAAGGTTTAGTAACATATTTAACAGATTGCAGGAAAATTAAATGATAAATAATTTGGTTCCTGTATCTTGTTCTGTTGCTCACCAGTTATGTGACTTAAGCAAATTAGTTAATACCTATGGGCATTAGTTTCTTCATCTGTAAAATAGAGTTGTTTTAAGGGCAATCAAATTATTGATGTGAATGCAGTTTGTAAGTGCTGTAATCTTTATTCATGTCTTACAAAGTGTGTGTGTGTGCGTGTGTGTGTGGTTAGAGAGGATAATTATGACAGTATGCAATATAGTAGCAAAACTGCACAATATTTAGCAGATATGTAGAACCTGTCAACCTTTAAATGTGTAGCAGTTAGATAGTCTAGTACCTGTCCAACAGGATACCCAGACTATAGGAGATGAGGTTGGAATTGTTAGAAGCACAACCTATATCTGACAACATCAGTTGCTATGATCAGGATTATATTTAAAAGAATGAGGTCATAAAAAAAATAATCTTGATAGCTGCTATGCTTTGAATGCAAACATGATGGATGATACATCAAACATGAAATCATTAATGTATTTTTAACAGCGATCAGTTTTCAGCAAGAATATGGCACAAAATTATGATAACTACGAATTATTTGGGAGTTACTTTGTAATCATGGCAGATTATTTTTAGTCTATTCAACGACCATAAGTGATGATTTTTTTCTCATGATTTATATACAAGGAAATTGAGGTGAAGAGAGGTTAAATAATTAAGCCAATAAGATGTTGTTAAACAGTATTTCTGTGTGGTATACAATGCTCTGTGATGCTAAAATGGCATACTCATTTGCTTTTCGTAAATCTATTACTGACATGAAAAGGAGGATAGATTTTATAGAAAGGAAGAAATGTATGTTAATGGGGAATGTGAGAAAGATGTCAAAGATTAGATGTATCTGTGCCAAAATTCTGTCTAACAACATAAGTATGTATGGTTTGCAATGGGCTTCATATATATTTCTTTATATAATGACCCTGTGAATTATTCAATTTTGCACTTTATAATTGTTAAAATTGCAGAGCTCAGAAAGGTTGTATGACTTGCCTAAGCTCAAACAGTATAGTATGCAGCAGATCTGGTTTATGTGCCCAGGATACCTGAGTCAAAATCTAGTTCTTTTCATTACACCACTTATCAATCCTCAGAGCATAGTTGTCCCCTCAATGTTGGTCTTGGATATTTGGTATCAAATCATTTCAGATGCCACATTTAGGTTATTACAAAACTATTACCTACATAAATATTATATCAATTATCTTATTATTTATTGTTATTTCCTTGGCATAAATGACAGGGGATGTACAGGCATTTGGATTCAGAAATGTCAATAACTTCCTTCCAAAGAGATTGTAATTGATTTTTTCCTGTGTCATGTTATCAATAAACAGTTAATAATATATGTCATTCCAATGTAACATCTATATTTACTGAGCTCAATGGGATGTTCCTGCATCATCAAGCTGAAATCCTGGTATTGCAGTGAGGAGAATACTGTATTGCAAGCAAGTATAATGCTTTGTAAAGTCCTTGCTTATATAATTATAGGAACTTTATGAGTTCCAACTAAATTGTGACTGACATGCCCTTTACTGTCTCAGGTCTAATCTTGTCATTTTTCCCCCCAAGGCAAAAACACATTTTAATAAGAATTTAGACCTAGTAATGCTGTAGAATGTGATTTTTTGATAATACAGTAGTATAAACACTACTAAGGGATGCATTACATTATGAATGCAGTTATTTATGTTCAGTGACCATTATCATTAATGGACAGATTTGCCTGTGATTCCCAGTGTGGAATCTATAAAGAATACTAATTTAATAGCAAACAATGGCATTAACGTATGTTCAACAAAAAAGCAGCCTATAAAGAATGGCATGAGAATTGGGTTTTCCATTTCAAGATGTGTGTATTCAGGATTCTAAAACACAGCTAGCATGTACCTAGCAAAATTTATGTGTGTACAGTCTAAGTTTTGTGTTGTTGCTTACTCTGGTATATTCTACAATTTGGAATATGTAACTTTATCCCTTTTTGGTGTCCTTTTATCCCTATATATTGTGCCTAACAATGTTCAAAAGAATAGTTTTGACTGAAGTAAACTATAAAATAGAATCAAGTGTGACCAGTGTGAAACATATTTCTAGTGCTGAGTCTTTTACATAATGTAGAAATGTGGAAACTTCATTCATACTAAAAAAAAATATATCCTAAGGAGAATAGTAGCATTTTCTCAATACCAGCATTGCTCTTAATAGAAAGATGGACAGAGTTCTTAAGATTTCCATTCAAATTGATGATACAGATGGAGAATGGTTATGTAAAAAAAGGAGGAAGAGATACTTATTTTGCTTATGGATTTTTACTTTGAATAATTCATATTTTAGTTATGCTAAATATATTTGGAAAGCTGGAATTTATTAAAAACATAACACCACTATGTACAATCAAAACATTATTCCTAAATAAAAAGATACCATTTATTTTCCTCTCTTTTTTAAAGTTTAAAAAGAAAAAAAAAGCAAATAAGTTGAAAGAGAACAACAATCTATAGTGAAAGCCATCACAGAGCCACTTTAATAATACACAGTCTGTTAGCTATATGAAGAGGGTAAACAGACTGATATTTCAAGAGGTTTAGGATGAATCACCCATTTAGAAGCATTGGAGAGAAAATGAAGAAACTCTGAGTGAATTGTGAAGCAATGAATAAGAATGTATTACACCACAGGAAGCCATCAATATTTGTTTATTATGTCAGTATGAGGAATAAATCTGTTAGCTAATTTGTATTCTCCACAGTTAATTCCAGTGTTCCTGCCTGAGCGTTTTTGTTCTAGAATGAATGTTGCACAGCTGTTTAATGGTGCCATCAAGAATTCAGAAAGTCATGGTCCCTTAGAGATGGAAAGGCATTGAAAAGTATGATATCGAACCAGAAATGATATAACAACATTCCCTTCAGGCACTGTATACTTCTTTCTTGCATTCTTCTGTAACTAATTCATTCTCTTTCTCACTCTCTCTGTCATCCTTTACATCTTTCAACATTTTTTCAAGTTTTGAAAATACCAGCTCAGACAGAAAGCAAAAAGCTGCTAGGTTACAAAGTTAAAGCACTTTTTTATTTACATTGCAAGCTTCTTTAAAGTGTTTTTACATTTACTTTAATGATGACTTAGTCAATATAATTAATCACAGAAATTAAACAATTTCATGTTTAGAAAGACTTAAAACTTACAAATTGCTCTTAGTCAAGTCACAATATAGATATTATAGCTTATATTTACAGATATATCTGTAATAAAATGATAGTTTTTAAAAATAATATTAATCCATTTAAACAATATTTTAAACAAAAAAAACAATGTGCTGAATGGGAGAAAATATTTGCAAAAGATATGACCAATAAGAGTTTAATATCCAAAAAATGTAAACAGCTTGTACAACTCAATATCAAAAAGACAAACATCCGACTTAAAAAATGAGCAGAAGAGTGCTTGCTTTGGCAGCACATATACTAACTAAACTTGGAAAAATATGGAGAAGATTAGCATGACCCCCGCCCTAGGATGACATGCAAATTTATGAAGCATTCCATATATTTTTTAAATTGGGCTGAAAATGTGAATAGACATTTTTCCAAAGAAGATATACAGATGACCAATGGGCACATGAAAAAATGCTCAACATCACAAATAATCAGAGAAATGCAAATCAGAAGACAATGAGATATCACCCTACGCCTGCCAAAATGACTGTCATCAAAAAGTCTACAAATTACAAGTGCTGGAGAAGATGTGGAGAAAAGGGAACCCTCTGTTGGCGGGATTGTAAATTGTTGCAGCCACTACAGAAAACAATATGGAGATCTCAAAAAACTAAAATAGAACTACTATATTATCCAAAAATTCCACTGTTATATATATATGTGAAGAAAACAAAACACTAATTTGAAAAGCTACATGAACCTCAATATTCATAGTAGCATTATTTATGATGGCCAAGATATAGAAGCAACCTAAGTGCCCATCAACAGATGAATGGATAAAGAAGATGTGGTATATACATACAGTGGGATACTACTCAGCCATAAAAAAGAATGAAGTTCTCCCATTTGCAACATGGATGGACCTAGAGAGTATAGTGAAATAAGTTAGATAGAGAAAGACAAATACTCTTTGTTATCACTTATCTATGGAATTTAAAAAATAAAGCAAAATAAATGTATATAACAAAACAGAAACAGACTCACAGATATCGGGAGCAAACTAGTGGTTATCAGTGGGGAGAAGGCAGTGGAGGAGAGGTGAGATAGGTGTATGGAATTAAGGGACACAGACTACTATGTATACAATAAATAAGCAACAAGGATATATTGTACAGGACAGGGAAATATAGCCATTATTGTGTAATAATTTTAAATAGAATATAATCTATAGAAATGTTGAATCACTGTTATATACCAGAAACTAGTATAATATTGTAAATTAACTATACTTCAGTAATAAATAAGTATAATATTTATTACTTTCTAAATGTTAGAAAGCAATACTGTCCATTTTTTGGTGTGTGTTCTGTAATGCCATGTTCCTTCCCTTTTCTGATTTTGCTTTCTTGAAAACATGATCCAAACTTGATGCCTTCTCTTACTTCAAAGGAAAATTGAATCCTTAATCTCAGTTTGAAATTATGATAAGAAAGTGACAGACTGGACTCATACTTCTGAACTCTACTTAAATAAGTTTGAAATTTGCTCCATCCAGTGTCATAGTTCCAGATAAGAATCTTACTCTAGTGATCACAATCTCCTTTATGCATTCATTGTAGATTTAAAGGCTGAGATGCTACAGCCTTGTTTGTGTGAATTCTTTTTTGTTGTTGTTGATAAACTAATGAATGAATTAATGTCCATCTATCAATGGTTTCTACCAGTGGTTTCAAAGTCTTTGAAACCTGGGGAATAAATAATCTATGTAATAATATAATACAAAACCAAATATTCTTCCTTCCCATCAAAAAAATTCTTAACCACATCTCCTGTATGCATCGTCAAAATTAACAAAGTCATATTCCTAAGTTTGCAAAGCCAGTCATCAAGAGTTTGTCATCTTTAAGCACGTGAAGTTTAATGTATTATAATATTTTTTTCTTCTCCCAAATACACATAGTGACAGGATTTCCTCCTTCCATTCAGATTGCCTTTATGTTCTTGCTTATATTAAATTGAATGAAAATTAAATTACTTTATCTCTGTAAGAAAAAATAATTTTTCTTTAAATTGTATATAACCTAAATGCAAGTATTCATGTCTTTGCATATATGCATGGTACAAAGACATGAATTATACATGATGTATATGTACAGTAAGGATAATGTCACATATAGTTGTATTTATGAAATGCCAAACATTGATTACAAATACAAATTTCATCAATCATATTGATATTTTCTTGCTTGATCCAAAATATTTGGGCATTTGACAAGAGCCAAATGATGAATGGGATAAATTTTTAAACTTTGTGGGTATATAGATGACAAGTTCCATTCATAGAATGAGAATAATATAATAGCATATAATAATGTATTTATACTCTGGATATTAAATATTGTTATTTGAAGGTGTAGATGAAAGAGTTATGATTTTCAGAACAGAGATGATTTTTTCCCAGTTGCAATTTGCTAAAAACATATAGCTCATCTTTCTGGTGTTTTTTTTTTTTTTTCTGGAGGGGGCATAGTAAAAAGAGCGTTTTTATGAATTGCTCAATTGAGAGAACAGACAACACATTTCATTCCATAAGTCTCTAAAATGTGCCAGCAATCAAATGAAAATCTCAATTGTTTGTTCACTAGAGATTTATAAAGGTCTTCAGGGTAGAACTCATTTCAAAATCATTCCTCTGAATATAAGGAAGGTCATAAAGGTTTTCTGTTGACTTTCACTACTTGTTGTTCATTAATCATCTGGTTCAATAATTTCTAGTTTGCAGCACTATGAAGTTAATTCCTGATTTACTTTGAGGGACTAAAGTTATATGTCTCAGAAAATTGCACGTCTGAGACAAATGATGAAATGTGTAATTAAAAGTGAAATGACATACTTTGCAGGAAATATTACAGGTTGTAAATTTGTTTGTTACACAAGAGATTTAAACAAATTTATTTTCTCCAAAAACATTAATATTAGAATTTTTCATTCTAACCACACAGGCACACAAGGTTTATGCACTGTCTTTGGTTCTGAAAAAAGTCCGTTTCTTCTGCCAACCAACTGTATACTTCAGGTAGCTTATGGCTTACTAATGTAATTTGCTTGTGCAATAGCATTAGAGATGACACAGTTGCACAATCTGCTTTATATTTGCTTCCCTAGAGCTATTCAGGCCTGAATTCTTTCCAAGCTTCAGTTATGTACTGGGCAGAAAATATATCCAAACTCAGAGAGTATAAAGAATCGGATGTATCATAAAAACACACTATTTAACCTGTCCCTGTAGCAGCAACTCTCTATCAGGAAGCCAATGTTATGAGAGTAAACATAATTATATTTCCTATGAACTTTGGCACCTGCTTAAGATCTAGGAAGTAGAGGGACAGTTATTCATTTGTAGATTTTGAGCAAAGGACTCTACAGTTCTGTTAACTCTGACTTTTGCAACGTCCTCAACAATGCATTAACCACTTAGCTAGCAGGTGGAAAGAAGAGCAAAACATGAGAAAAATTAATTATATCAAGAGAATTATAGACAACTACTTAATTGGTTATAATTAAGGATGTTGTGAAAGCTAACACAGTGGTTATGAAGTAAATTGAGGACCATTAGAAAAAGTAGTGGACTAGAAGAACCTTATGTAATTGTTCTTAACATACTATTTACACTCACATACAATTCTGAGGATTGTAAATAGCTAAATAGTCTTAGTTATCAAAGTTGACTTTCATCTGTGTTACATAATGAGAGTAATAATTGTTTAAAATACTTTTCCTAGAAATTTAATATTTGTACATTATTTCAAATTTAATAATTGACAAATATTCATTGAATATCTACTTCATGGTTCTGAGCACTATGCTAGGAACTGGGAGGTGCAATAATTGGTACGTGTGATTGGGTAAAAGAGATTAAATATGATTTCATATGGTATGATAAATGAAAAAGAAAAGCAGTGTACTGTTTAAACATTTATTGTGGAAACTTTCAAATGAACACAAAATAGCATGATAAACCCCTAGATACCCATCATACAGCTCCGTACTCATATTTTTTACCTGTATTCTTCCCTCAACCTTTGCTTTTTTATTTCAAGAAAATCCTAGACAAAATAGCATGTTACCAATTAAAAAATTCATTATCTTTGTCTAAAATAAGAGTGCTTAAAAGAATGACAATACCTATTAAATTATCATGCCTTAAAAAGCTAATAGCACTATTTACTTAATATTAACTGATATCACATCAATGTTCATATTTCCCTGGTTTATCTCAAACAGTATCACTATAGTTCATGTGTTCAAATTAGGTTAAAAAAAATCCTCACATGACATTTACTTGTTTGATAGGATTTTCCCCAGCATTTCACATGAAAAATTTCAAACTTACAAAGCTGATGAAAAAATAGAGCAAATGCATATTTAACAAGTGGATTCAACCATTAACATCTTATTACACATATTCTATCAAATATCTATCCATCTATCCCTGCATTCAATCTATATCATTTTCTGAAGCTTTCCAATAATATGTGACCAGAGTGGAGGATGTAAGAAATGTTTTAAGGAGGGGTGTAGCTGGAGGGGTAGACAGATCAAATCATGAAGAGCCCTGTTTTCTTGATTAAGAAGTATGGATTTTATCTTGTATTCTTGTGTGGAAGATAGAAAATTAATCAGATGAACAAGTGAAAAAGATTATATATTACATAGTAATAAGTGTTTAGGAGAAACTTTAGAATGGAAATTGGAAGTCAGATCAGTTGGCAGGTAGCAAGATTTGCAATTGCAAACAGGGTGGCCTGAGTAGGACCCAATAAGAAGATGGCATTTGAATAAAGATCTGAAAATAATGAACAAGAAAGCTATATGGATATCTGGGGAATGAGGATTCCAAGAGAGAAAATAGTGAGCAAAGACCCTGAAGCTAGAATAAATTTGCATTTGTTTTATCATTTTAATAAAGTATATTATACAAACATTATGAGGATACAGTAACAGGAATAACAGGCAATAATTGAATGAAAAGTCACCCATAACGCTGCTACTCTTGGAATTCAAATTAATTTTACGTTTTTATCCTTTGCTCTTTGTTTTTATGCATCATGTTCACCTAAAATTTATGTGCATACATATATAGTTAATTTGGGATGTTAATGTATTATAAACATTTTCCATGTTTTACTGTATAGTCTCAATAATTATTTTAATAGCTACTTATTATTCAATGAAGTGAAACATCATGGAATATTTTACCTAACAATTCTCTTGTTATTAAATATTTAAGCTATATAATTGTTATTCTTACAGATATAGTGACAAATATCTTTATATATTTGTTTTTTATTTTTATTTTTAAAATACTTATTTTAGAAAAAATAAAAAACAGAAAT